AAAAAAACGGAAAAAAGAAAGAAACTCCAGAGAGCTTCGATCGCCATCGCACAAGTCAAAGGGAAATTTTCACATGAGGTCAAAATTATGTCAGCCTTTGATTTGTTCGTAAATTTTGTTTTTCATTAATTACACTGCGGGAAAAAACGGAATGTAACTGTACGAAATTAATAGCGTTAAGTGTAGTACTGGAAATCTTAAAGAAAAGAATTCGTAACACATGTTTCCAGTGTATAGACTTCAGTCTTCATGGTCTACCTTCCGTGTGTAGAACTCTTCGTTAGAGGATAAGTTAGCTTTGCCTTAATATATATTATAAGAATGCATGATCGTCAGTCTTTTGTTATATTGTTTTATTATTCCCGTAAAGCTCGTATCACGACCTATGAAGTATCAGTTGTCACTGGTGACGTCAGAGGGGCCGGGACCAATGCCAATGTATATATTACCATGTATGGAGAAGAAGGAGATACGGGTAAGTTGTTAGCCGAATAAGAATTCAATTTTAAACTCAGGTCTTAGATTTGCTTGTACGCGAACAGAATGTTGACTGATAGTAATACCTTTTGTTAAAAAATATCTTTAAATTAAGTCGGAGTTTCCTACTGGACACGCTCGTCTTATAAGTTATTCTGTTGGGTGGGTGAAATGGGGCACGGCCCTGAATTCTCGCGATTTTCCTGGTTGACAATTTATTGTACCTGTAAGCAATCTTTTCTGAACATGATCTTTTTTTTAGCCTGTTGTCTCTTCAGAGACGATACATGTAGGTAGAATACTTTATGGCGATATTTATAAATCATGTGATATAACCGAGCTCTTTCTTCACAGGCAAAGTTCCTCTTAAAACCTCCAAAACATTCAAGAACAAGTTTGAACGTGGCCAGACAGATGTCTTCAATATTGATGCCAAGGTTGGAGAAGTTCAAAAGATCAGGTAAAGTTTAAACACGCCCCAAAATTAAATGAAATTATGCTTCTTTTCTCCTTCTAATTCCGACTCTTACCGGTTATTCTAACTTCAAAAAATAATTTTAGACTGATTGAACACTCTAAACTCATAATTCCCTAATTTGCTCAAAGAAAGACGCCATGAATGACAGGTTTCTAAACGAATCTTCGGCTACGTTAGGAACCGTTCATTTTTTATGAGGGAGGGGGGGCTGGTGGGATTTGGGAAGCACCATTTAAAAATCGCATGACCCCCCCTCAGCTTACCAATTTTTTCACATG